TTCTGGTTACTAGTTACTACTCCTTAGTCGTTATTACGGAGTACTATGCTAGCTAGTTAAAATATATTTTTTATTAAAACTATTAGTTATATGATTGGGAATTAAATAGATTATTTTCATTTAACAAAATGATATTATTGAAGCATTAACGGAACTACTATATAGGTACTAAAATGATATTAAATTAACAAAATTGCATCCATACTAAATTTATTTATAAAATAGGTAGTAAACTAAGAATTACATTTTGTTGAACCAAGCTTTAATTTTCCTGTAATCAATAACCATCTTTATAAAATATATTATATTATCTCATGTCCCAGACCCACCGGTGTCGTCAACAACCGTTAAGCTAGAGAAACCATAGTTAACCATTTACAAATTATACAAGGCATCATCATGTATATCATACACACTAAGTATTCCATAACAATAGAATAAATAAAAAATTAATTAATTATTATGCAACGAAAAATAATGCGGGCACGCAGGCGCAATACAAGAGTAATATAAAAAATATTTATCCATGAATTTCTAAGTGAAGTTTAAACAAAATAGGGAAGCATGAACAAAGTCTTCCCCGAGCACACTCTTTGCAAGAGAGTGCAGGCAGCAAGTACAAGCTCCAACCTGAAGATATTAGTGAGGGCCCCTTCGGGTTAGTACAACTGGTACTGGTGAGAGAATGAGACACTATACGATACTTCCTCTGTATCACAATAAGTGTCTCATTAAGCTTTTCACGTAGTTTAAAATAATTTATATGAGAGTGTTGGTACTGTATCACAATATTTTTATAAAAGTTATGTTATCACCTTGATCATATTTTTTTTCACAAATGTAATTTTATGGTGTTACGTTCATAATTTAAAATACACGAAGCATTTATGAGGATGCGATTAAAGTTAGATTATACGGAATTAATATTATTTATTTCATAAATGAAATTTTAGAATACTTATTGCATTAAATTAGTTTAGATCTTTTTGGGTATTCTTTCCTGAGTATGCACCGATTAAAGTGGTGGTACAAAAGGCATGGATTGTATGAAGTCTAGGTGGAGAAAGTAGGAGCACCATGCTTCATACTACTCATCGGAAATTACAGTTATTTCATGAAAAAAACATTATATTTTCCTGAAATATATTTAATGTATAAACAATTAAGGGAGATATGTGATCCAAACTACCTTAGATTCAATGAAAATGAACATTTTCCCCCAGTATTGGAATGTTTTTATTGTGTATTCTGTTTTCTTACTCCCAGCATTTTGTCACTCCCAACGAAACTTCTCTTCAAAAGCAACTTATTACAGGACAAATGACGAAATGGGAAACCCAAGTATGGATTCAGTATAATTGCACATGAATTTAATGAATTCTCTTAAATTATTTTTGTCACCAAACATTAATTGTTTTAGTATATGATCAGGTGGAGCATGTGGGTATGCAGAATATGGAAGAACCAGCAACAACGGCGAGGTTTGTGCAGTCTCTAGTCGGCTTTTCAAGAATGGCGCTGGTTGCGGTGCTTGCTATCAGGTATTCACAAGCTACGGCTTCTCAATAAAAAAAAAATGCAGATTACGAAGTATTTTGGAAAGGAGATGAAAGGGGACGTATAATTAGGAAAATTCTTACTGTATACATAAATTGTACACAAAATCCCCCTAATTACTTTTGTACATAGACAATTCATTTAAAAAGGATAGAACTTGATGTCAAATTGTTTGTGTACACAGACAAGTATTAAAGGTTAAAAGTGCCTAAGGTACACATGGTGTACATAAAGTGTACACCATATAAAAGCCCCCCAAAAAATCTCATTTCCCCTCTCTCCTTCCCTATCTCCCTTCTCTCGTTCCTCTTTACCCAACCCATTCGAAAATCTCAAAAGAAAATGAGAGATCATCTTCTCTTCCCTTCTTCATCTTCCTCTTCCCTTCTTCATCCTCTTTTTCTTTACATTTTTATATCATATTTTTTCCATTATTTGCACAAAATCGGTTTATTTATTTTATTTCATCTATTTTATTATTTTTCTATTTTTTCAAATTACATGTAAATTGATCACACATAAAAGTATACAACTACATCATTCATTTGAATATATATAGACAATTAAATTTTTTGTTCACCCAGACAACTAAAACAGATTACACCGACAACTAAAGTTGATCACACAGACAACTATTGTCTGTGAGCCGCAAAACTATTGTCTGTGTGGTAAATATTGTTGTGAACAAACAAATAATTGTCCGTGCAACCTGAAAATATTGTCTGTGCACACAGGCACGGCACATATGTTGATAAAAAATGATCTTTTTACCCACTCTTATACCCACTTTTGTACCCACTTATGTTTGTGAAAGCCTTGTTTTTGTCTGTGAACCCCGGTTCACAGACAATATTTTGCATAGACAAACTATTGTCTGTGAACCGGGTTCACAGACAAAAAAAACCTTCACAAACATTGTGGTTATAAGATGAGTATAAGAGTGGGTACATCAAGCATGGTTGTATATTGATTGATTTGCAAACTGGTGTCAGTGTTAATGTAAATGTCCGTGTACACATACAAAAGTTGTCTATGTACACAGACAACTCTTGTCTCTGCTCACAGACAACTCCGTACCAATTGTCTGTGACCGGCATTTTGTGTACAAGTTGTGTACAACTTGTGTACCCCTAGCATTTTTTATTAAAGGTTTAGTACTCTCTCTCTACTCTTACCATGGCCCTAGGGGTAGGGGTTAATGGGTGGAGATAGGGGTAAGAGCCTACTGGTCAAGGTAAGGGGTAGGGGCCAGGAGGGGTAACGGGTACGCGGGGTGGGTAGAGGAGTATGGGTAGGGGGTAAGGGTCGTGGTAGGGGTAGGGTAGGGCGGGGGTATGGGTAGGGTCAGGGGTTAGGGGTAATGAGTATGCGTACGAGGTGGCCCTCACGTATTACATTATATATTTGTGTAGATGAATGTTTGTGTATCTATATAAGTATTAGGATATTTTGGAGTGTTAAACGGTATTTTTAATCCCATAAAGTAAACACGATCTTACAGCACTGCTTATTTTATGCGTCGCTTATTAACGCGAGTCTTAATAAGCACTGTTAAATAACCTGTGAAGTAAACGTGTACTTGAGCTTCGTGCAGCTATTTTGCCAAACAAGATTGCTTTTAAAATTATTGACTGAATTGGTAATATTTCAACCCATTATGAGCTCAAATGGCTTGGCAAACGTAACGTACCTAGCCTTGGTTCCTTTTCATTTTTTGGAATTCATATGTTACATTCTATTTTCTCTTTCATGCTTTTTAAACATTTTATCTTATTTCATTTTATTTTGGTAATGGTCTATCTATGTTTTCATCTAATCTGTCAAAAAATATGTTTATAATACTATTAGCGTAAATATTTAATTTTTCGAGTTTGTGCTTGTGTCATGCATCTAATTTTTAGTCCTCACATTATTGTCATTTAGACTTTTGGTACTCATACTTTTTTTACTTTTAACCAAGCGACTATTGTTATAGAGATGATAATTTTTGTATTGGAATTTGAATCACCTAACTTTCAATCATCATCTCACTATTCTTATAGTGAGACTATTATTTAGGGGTGAGAAAAAATACCGAACCGGCATGGTACCGAACCAGATCGGTATGGCACCGGACCGATAAACGGGGTTTGAAACGGATCTCAAAATGTTTTGTCCCGAACCGGACCTTACCGATCCCAAACAATGTCATGACGGGTTCTCATAAAATGAGAACCGGTACCGAACCGAACTAGACCAAAGTATAGTTTATCTGAAATTTATTAATTACCTCATCCGTCCCAAATTGATTTGCAAAATCAACATTTTTTTGTCAATGTTAAGTCTTACCTAATGATAATTAATACAATTTTGCAATTTTTTAAAAATTAAAATTTACATATTTAGAATCCACATTAAAATCTCTTTAAAGTTGCAAAATCCAAATTAGAATACACGAAGTACTTTTTTTTTAATAGACAAATTAGAAAATAATTAAAAAGTGAAATCCTAATTAAGTGAATAAAAGGAAACCGTTTGACCAAAAAAAGGTTAACTTTGCAAATTAATTTGGAACGGAGCTAGTATGAAATATGAAAATTAATAAATTGTGTGAATTTTTGGATGATGGCTAAACTTTAATTTTTCCTTAAAGGAATAAAGTGACGTTGTTTGGTATTGGTATGGCATAGTACCGTCCAGTTTAAAAATGGACCGTACCAAACGGGTTTAGGTCTAAGACCGAACCGAACCGTTTCAATAGTAACGGTATGAGTATGAGTTCGGAAAAATATTGGACCGGACCGGACCGTGCCCACCCCTGGCAGGAACATTATAAGTTATTACTATAGACCTTTTACTTTTAGATACTAATAAATAATAGTGTGATACTGTGATGTGTAAGGTTTATTTTATTTTAAAATGAATTCACCCAGGTAGTAAATTTTTCTTGATAATTCGACATTTAATGTCGATAAACTGTGTTTTGAAGTGTCAGAAGTGCAAGTTGTTTATCAATAAAATGAAACAAATGATTTTATTGACAGTGTTTTTATCCCCAAAAAAAATGCAAGACTAAGTAACACAGCTTGTCCTGTGGGCAATCTACTTTATTTCTCTCTTTATTTCAATGGGGGACTGGGGTAGGCTGATGGGTTCTGGTAAAGCTTGATAATGCTAGATCTTTCTTTGTTTGATAATTTTTTGTTGGGTTCAAGTTTTTAGATAAACAAGGTAATCTCAATCAAATTTTCTGCTCTTCATTATCCTAACAATTGCAGCACCCACTGCACTAAATTGAATTGTAAGTGGCACCCATGTTTTGAGATTTGACTCAAATTATTCAGTTTGATTAAACTAAAAATCCAATATTATAAAAAAGTCCAATATTAACAGATAATATATATATACTTTGTTTTATAAACTGCATTACTAGGTGTATCACACACACAAAGTTAAACAAGCAGGCCAGAAGGAAAGACATTTTATAACAGAAAACTTCGCTTGCACAGAGGAGTAACCACACTGCATTGCACTAAACAACATAACTATATATTAAGCTGGCAGGAAACTTCGCTTGGTTAAACATATCTCAGTCATACATAATCATTGAAGTACATATATATTTCTCATCTATACAACATAAAGAATAGAGTAGCATATTCTTAAATGTAGCACATGCAATAAAGGCAGAGAATGGCTGTATTCACATGAATAAATCAAATTTCTCCCCGATATCCGCCAGACCCAAAGTAATCCCTCCTTTGATTGGCTATTTGCTGGGTCTTGTGATGCTCGAGCTTGGGGCAATCGAGAATACGATGACCAAGACCACCGCAATAGGCACAGCCTTTGACCCCACTTGCATTGGTGATGATGGCATCAGCATCTTCCCCAGGAGTTTCAAGTTCAGCAAGAACTGGAGGAATCCTTTGGTTAGCTTCTTGCAAGAGGCGTTTGAGATCAAGAAGCGTTGTCGGGCTCTGAGTTTTATTTATGAAAGTTGTGGCAATTCCCGTTTTGCCACACCTACCTGTACGCCCGATCCTATGGATGTAGTTCTCGATTTCAGCAGGCATATCATAGTTTATCACGTGCTGAATATCAGGAAAATCCAATCCTTTGGAGGCAATATCAGTAGCCACCAACACGTCCTTCTTCCCTGCTTTGAATGATGAAATAGCATACTCCCTCTCTTCTTGGTCCTTCCCTCCGTGAATAGAAACAGCTTCCACTCCTTTCAACAGCAGGTACTCGTGTATCTTATCCACGTCAGATTTGTTCTCACAAAATATTAAAACTGGTGGGGGCGTTTTCTTCACACAGGGACAAAGGTAAAGCAGCTTAGCTTCCTGCTTCACATACTCAACTTCTTGGATAACTTCTAAGTTAGCCGATCCAGCTCTTCCCACATTCACAGTTATGGGTTTGACCAAAGCACTTTGTGCAAAGCTTTGGATCTTTGCGGGCATTGTGGCAGAAAAAAGTAGAGTTTGTCTTTGGGATTTAAAACGATCGAAAACTTCCCTGATGTCATCTTCAAACCCGAGATCTACTAGTCTGTCTGCTTCATCTAGTGTTAAATATCTGCAATTGTCAAGGCTCATTTTCTTTTTAGCAAGCATATCTTTTAGTCTTCCAGGTGTGGCAACCACAATGTGAACTCCTTTCTTGACCACATCAAGCTGGGACTTCATGTCAGTTCCTCCAATGCATAATAGAGATCTTATCTCAGGGTACCCAGCCTCCTTTAGAGGCTCTAGAAACTCTTCTATAACTTCATATGTCTGTCGTGCTAGCTCTCTAGAAGGGCAAATGATTAATCCAAATGGCCCTTCTCCACGCGCAATCGGCATCATTATCTCCTCCTGTAAGGCCACCATGATAAGTGGCAGAACGAAAACCAGCGTCTTCCCAGACCCTGTAAATGCTATTCCAATCATATCTCTTCCGGACAGGACAACAGGCAATCCTTGTACTTGGATAGGAGTCGGTTGAACAATTCCCTTAGATTTAAGCTTGTCCAGTATTGGTTTGGGAAACCTCATATCCTTAAAGTTTTTAATGGGCGGAGGGGTATCATCTCCATCCACAAGAATGTGCCACTGTTTAAGAATGGAGTCACGAGACCTCTTTCGCATCCTTCTGATGCCTAATGGAGGCTTCCAACCGGTGAACATAGGATCCGTGTAATTAATCCCCTTTGCAAGTTCACGCACTGACATCAGAGCCTTTCTGTCAGAGAGATGCTCAATAATTTCTCTCTCTTGCTGAAAGATTTGCTCAGCAACACTCACATCTGGCATCTCCTTCTTCAGCTGAGTAGCCTTCATAAGCAAACTTGTTTTTTCCTCAACTTGTTTTGTCTCTTCAGCTTCCTTTTTTGACTGTGTAGATTCCCCCGTTCGCTGCAGGATCTTCTGTGCCTCAAGCGCCTTTCGTTTTGCCACAGGAACATACTCAACATAATCATCATCATCCTCATACTCCTGGAAACCGAAACAAATATTAATAAAATAATCTACTTGCATGAATAAACAATCATCAGATTTGTTAAAATCATATAAGCCAGAAAATTGGAGCATTAGGATTCATATCCCAGAGCATGAATCCCATTATTCTTTGCTGAAACTGCTATTCATTCAGAATAGAAAAGTGCAAAGAAACAAAACAGCAACTATTCCACAAAACTCATCAATTTGACAAATTCATAAAAGAAATCTTGGAAATCAAAATAAAAGAAACCTTTCATCTCAGGGAATTTGTAGACTTACCATGTTCATATGGACTGCCATTGGAAAGACAACTAGAGCAGTGTTATTCAGAAGACTCTGGGTCCAAAGATTAGAGTATGCGGCACCTGCATAAACCAAGGTTTTAGAACGGTAATCCAGAAAATACCATACACTGTAGAATAAAATAAAATAGTAGGCCAGCCTGAGAAAACTACTCCGTATAAAAGAAGAAGTATACATATCAGAAGACAAAAAAATACTCCGTACTTACCTACGACTAAGAAGAATCTTAAATTCTACGATTAAGAAAAATCGCAAATCCAGATTTTTGGGGGAAAACATCCGAAGACAGCCTTGGCAACCTAAATTTTTGGGATATTATTACAACTTCGTAAAACAAAAGCACTGCAATATACGATAGTATATTTAAGGGATTGCTCTGCCGCCTCTGCAGTTTGCGCGCCGTGTTACTCCGTACTTATTGCCGTATAATAACTTTGTTTGGACTAATTTGCCCAATTACATTCGTTAGGGCTTAAATTCTTTACGCAACCTCCCCTTCCCTTTTAGGACTTCTTATTATTGGATCACTTAAGATTGCCAATCTATGGTTAACCGTAATCTATCTTCCTCAATAAATTAAATTTTTCACTTGTTTATACGAGTTCACCCAATAAAGTTCTTTTCATTAAAATCTTACTTTTATTATTATTAAAATCTTTTCATTAAATCCGGATTTTATTAATAACCAATAATTTTCAGAGTATGGGTCAAAAGACAGAAAGAAATCCAACAACCGCTATCCTTCGAACCAGACTCGGAATTAATCGCCGCAACAATAAAATTCACTGGTCCATAATTGGGAAACAAACAGCCAAAAACGGTCACCCTATTCCTCTCAATCCCCATAGCCAAATCAACGTCTTACAAACAGGAACAATAAAGAAAAAGCAAATAACAAAACGGGCATAAAAATTAGTGGAAAAACAAACGAGACAAATAAAATAAATCTTCTTCAAAACCCTAGATTTGCTTGTCTTCCATGGTGGCGGCTCGGGAGGGGGACGCGCCCGTCGCTCATCCACCATAACCTCAACATCAGCTTCATCTAGATCCAGTTCTTCTTCCTCTGCCCCATTCGCCATCCTCTTGTATTTGTCCACGAAGCTATCCATGCAAAGCTGTTGCTCTAACCTTCTGCCAGAAACTCCGACCTTGCTCATTGTTGAGACCGAACACCTCGGTCGGACACAATTAAAGCAATCAACGAATGCCTTGCTCGAATCAACCAAGACAGATCCCAAAACTATTAGGTCGATGACCCCAATCCCAAAGAAGAAACAAAAACACGATCTGCTATGCCGAGATCAGCAACTAACAGACGAAAAATCCAAACTCGCACCACGACTGAACGATCATGGCCGGACAAACGCCCCTAGGCAAACCCTAGGAGGCGACGCTCTAGAGCTCTCGAAGAGCGGCTCTAGGAAATACTAACGTAACTTATCCTTTTTTCGGAATCATTATGATCTAAAAAAGGCAAACGTTCCGATGCAAAAAATAAATAAAATTGAAATTAAATTTTTTTGTTGTCATTTCATAATTTAAAAAACATAATTTTTTTAAAAACATATATGCAATTTTCACTTTTATGCAAAAAGTCACAACTACACTTACTTTTTATCTACTTTTTGATTCATTTGACATATAGTAAGGATATATTTGGAAAGTCAAAATAAAATCTTATCCTACATAATTAAATATGTGCGTAGATCAAATTAGGAACTTCATTTCGGGACGGAGAGAGTATATACTTAAATTTAATATAATCACTCTTTAGCTCACCCACACTCTAACTCATGGACCGATCCATTTGACAATTTATGTACTATAGGTAGGTTAGTTGTCCATTGAAGATTTATAAGTACTCGTACATTTTAACATACTCATGAAATCTGTAACGAACAATTTTGCATTGTGAAAATTGTACTACGTATATATCAACAACATATATACGCAGTATAAAGTTATGTAATAATTTCAGGTAAGGTGCAAAAACAATGGACTGTGCAGTCGAGATGGAGAGAATGTAATGGCAACTGATTATACAGAAGGGCGGAACGACATAGACTTCATCCTCAACCACCGCACCTATGAGAGGCTAGCCAAGCAGCCGAGGATGGCTGACATTTTAACAGAGAAAGGTGTTTTGGACGTCGAATATCGTCGAGTTCCTTGCTCAACAGAAGGCAATCTCACAGTGAAGGTCCATGAGAATAGCCAATACCCTCACTACCTTTCTCTTGTCCCTACCAATCAAGGTGGTGCTAGTGACATATTTGCTGTTGAGGTCTCTGAGGTCAGTTCTAATAATCCATTAATATTTGAGGAGTTTCTCAAAACAAGAGTAGAAAAGTTAAATTGCATGATAGGGGTGTAATAATATTATCCTCTAAATAGAAGTAAAGTACTGTGTGCGCATGTAATCATACTGTCATATTTTGCCATTACCATATGTTAATATAGCACTATTCATGCCATAATTGAAATCAATGTCTGCATTAATTAATCTGATTTATGAAATTATAGTAAGGGGAAAAGACGTGAATAAGACTAATACATGAGCACGGAATTTAAATAGGACTCAACACTTTTTTACTCCTAAATACGACTACTTTCATGTTAAGAGACAAAAAAGCCCCCACCTTGAAAGAAGCTTGCCAGAGAAGAAAAATTGTTACGCCTTCAAATAAACCACCGACTGTCACCCTAAACCACGCCGCCCACCGTTGCCGGACCTCCGCCTCCTGCCGCCGTCAGACTTCTGCCGCCTGCCGGACCTCCGTCAACCTCCGCCGTCAGACCTTTGCTGCCTGCCGGATCTCCGTCGACCTCCTATGTTGGTCCTCCTGAGACCTCCAACGCCATTATTACGAAGACCTCTGCCACCAAAGACGACCTCGACGTCGGTCCTCCGACAAACTCCGCCGCCACAGCTTATCCGGCGACCTCATGGCTGCCGCTGGTTCTCTGACCACAGTGGCCTCGCAGCTGGTCCTCCGGTGACCTCTGACATTGGTCCTCCGGTGACCTCCGCCACTGGTCCTCCGGCAATCTCTGCCACTGCTCCTCTGGCGACCTCCACCACTAGTCCTCTAAATATCAATAGTATGAAAATTGACAAATGTTATACTCACAATGTCAATGACAATGTTATACACTTATACTCACAATGTCAATGAAAATGATATTAAAATGACATTGTAACAATGACAATGAATGTCATTGTCAACTTTTTGAAAAATGACATTGTGAATGTTACAATGTCAATATTCAAATAAAAAAACTCTTACAATGTCAACATTGATATTAGAAAATTTCACAATGTCATGTATTTTAATTATAAATTATTCCAAAACAAACAATGTTACAATAGTGTTAACATTATCAAAATTTTAAGAAAATACAATGTCAAGCACAATGTTATAAAAGAAAATGACATTGTAACAAAGATACAATGTCAATGACAATGTTATAAAAGAAATGACATTGTAACAAAGATATAAAGACAATGTCGTTATTAATATTGTGACAATGTGAAATAACAACAATGTCATTAGAATCAAACTGTTTTGAAAAGAATGTCAATATATTACAAAATGTCAGAATGTTAAAATCATTTATCAACATAGCTATTATGAATTGTGTGACCATGTTGATATCATTGTAAAATTATCTCATAATACACATTAAAGTGTTATATTAACAATGACATTTGAATCAAATATTATCTAAAAAAAATTAATATAAAAATAAAACAAAAAAATTAAAAAGTTAGAACTCAAAAAAAGACATTACATAAACAAGTAGAATAGCATTAAACAAAACAAGGAAATAGATTGAAAAGAACCACTGAATCGGGCGTATAGTATATTAAAAACAATAAAAAATCAATAAATTCCAAAAAAATGCACATTACGTATGCCGGGAAAGGAGCGGCCAGCGTTTCCTAGATCTACCCAAGAGAAACAATTTCCAGATCTGTCCAAGAAAAGAAGAAGAGAAAAAGTAGAAGAAGAAGGGGAAGAAGAAGAGTAGAAGAAGAAAAGAAGAAGAGGAAGAAGAGGAAGAAGAAGAGAACGCACCACGGCATCCCACCACAGCCGCTGTCGCGCCGCCGCGTTTACTCTATTGAGCTGCCGGCGCCAGCGCACCACGCTGTCGTATCGCCGTAATCTGTCTCACCACATCTACAACACCAGTACGCCAGTACAGATCAACTCCTTTGTTATGGTGTTGCACCTTGAAGCTGCTAGCCTGCCATGGCTATGGAGGAAGAAGCGAGAGAGAGTGTTTGACGAGATTGTGGACAAGAGAAAAGGAATCTCGTGGAGCAAACGTTAGGAAATACCGACAATTATGGAATAAAGTAATAATGAACTCCTATTTACGAGTTAAAAAAGACGGAGTCTTATTTAAGTATATACGGACTTTTTAGGTCTTACACTCTTACTTATGACCATTTCTCTTATAGTAATCCTATTTTGGAACTTCAAATTAACGTTTCTCCACTTTAAAGCAAATTGTCATGCTTTTTATAATGACATAAATTTTCTTCCTAATGTTTTCTTCCCAATTGCATGGCATGCTTATTCAAAAAGTGAGATTGTTGTTACGATTAGGTTAAGTAAAACGATAAATTAAAGAGCTAGAACACAAGAATTTACGTGGTTCACACAATCGGGGTGATTGTGCTAGTCCACGGCGAACGAGAGAGAGCTATGTATTATTATGTCGGCGTTAGAGGTTTCATGTACATAAGATGTGTTTAAATAGGTTTAGGAAACCTAAACAATGATTAGAGTCGCAGGCCTAAAATTAAGCCCGTAATTAAAAAAATTCACGCATACCCGATCGAGTAAACCCATGTACTTGATCGGGTGTAGAATCCAGAGAGTTGCCCGAGTAACACTTTCCCGCATACCCGATCGAGTAAACCCATGTACTCGATCGGGTGTAGAATCCAGAGAGTTGCCCGAGTAACACCATCCTCATACCCGATCGGGTAATCCAACTTACCCGGTCGGGTATATGCTCCAGTATTCAAAACAAGGCTCCATCTTCAACAATCTCCCACTTGGAGGCTTGTTCAACAGTCATCTGCCATCCAAGAAAATGTATCCTCTATAAAACCCCTGATCTCTCTCTCTCTCTCTCTCTCTCTCTCTCTCTCTCGTTCACGCCTTCTCATCAAGTATCTGGAAGGCCAGTTGAAGCCATGCATAGCTTCAACTTCTCCGTTGTCACCGCCTTGGTAAGCATGTCTGCTGGATTCTTCGTACCAAGGATCTTCTTCAAATTTATGGAACCGTTTTCAATCAATTCTCGGATGAAATGGTATAGCATCTTGATGTGTTTCGTTCTGCTGTGAAACATTGGATTCTTCGCAAGATGAATAGCACTCTGTTGTCACAGTATAGACCGCAATCCCCCTGCTTCATGCCCAACTCCGAAAGAAAGTTCTTCAACCAGATCAACTCTTTGGC